AGGATCAAACGTTCTCGTGTTGTGATAAAAGTAATAACTAATACACCCTCTCTTTTAAAATAATAGTTCTTTTTAAATAATTTAATTTTTTTTAGTACAATTATTACATTTAAAAATAATAATTTTTTAAAATTATTTTTTGATAGTATATTTTTTTGAAGAATATCAATTATTATAATTGTAATTTTTGTATTGTTAATAAATTTAAAAGAAGAGAAAAACAGAAAATTTATATTATTTTAGTTCTTAATTTTTTTTAAAAAAACTAAATTTTGGAATAATAAAAAATAAAATAAAAAATTAATATTTTAGAATGGAGGGAAGTATTTTTATTTTCTTAATGGGTATAGTATCCATGCTAGCGCCACACTGCCTATTACTCGGCTCAAACTCGGGCTCCGCCATGGCAAAATGTTGGTTCAAATTCAGGTCAACAAATTGTAATTTGTATAAGTGAGTTTTTGAGTTTGTGTCATGAGACACAAACTAGTTTGGTGTAATTTACGTTGGAAAATAATAGTTTTTCGGTAATTTTAACTCGAAATTAAAGTGGGACTCAACCGTCGGTTGAGATGGGTCTGAGTGGTTTTGTATTCTCTCAAGTGAGAAGATTACAATATAAAAATGATGAGCCGAAACTATTGAGGTGTGAATGAGAATTGTCTCATAAAATGAATATCAATAAAAGTTGGGTTTAGATTTGGACTTAGTCTTAGTTTAGATTGGGCCTAGACTTGTACTTGTGCTTGTACAAGTGTTGGGTTTGGTCTTGGACTTAGACTTGGACTTAATCTTAAGCTTGAGCTAAGCTATGTTTTGTTGTGCTTAGCTTATGCATGTGTTTGAGAATGGGGTTTGAATTGGGTAGTAACCCAACATTGCATCCATTGTGTGACCCATCTAATCAGTTTATTTAAACATCATTATATACATATTTATTTGTATATATTAAGCACATGAGAGGTTTAGACTTTTGTAACTCTTATCTTTTGATGATGGAGTTGATGACCATATTAGTGACCATAGGTTTTCAACCTTAGTAACTCTAGCCCTAATGGTTAGAATTGATGGCCTTGGTTAATGGCATTTGATGACCCTATTGATGTATAGCCTTTATGGCTAAGAATTTCCCTACTTGTATAAATAGAGGCATTTCCCCTCCAACTTAGTAGAAGAGTATAAGAGAGATTTTTGATGAAAAATGGAAATGTTGTTTTGAGATAAAAAAGTTAGAGATGGTTTTTACACCAAAGAAAATTTTCTTATCTTCTTTTGCTAGTCCTTTCTTTGGTTCTTGTTAGAGAGAGTGCAGCTATCATCAAGTTCATCGAAACTATTCAGAAGGTACTTCTGCATTAACTGATTTTGACCATCGTATCCTTGGAGACAGAAATCGACATACCTCCCTCACCCATGGTGAGGCGGCTAATCTGTTTTAAGAACACTATGGTATCACACAGGTTTTGATTTACTTTCTTTACCTTTTATTGTATTGTGTATTACTATGGTTGTAATATTCAACATGTTTTCTTATTCTATTATGTAATTTGATTAATTATGAATCTACTTATCTTGTTTGATTACAAAAATTGTACAACAATTTATGGAGTTGTTTATAATTTTTTATTTCAAAAATTTGTGTTAAATTGTTTGATGTGCTTATATTTTATACGATAGAGATAGTTTAAATAAATTTAAAAAATGATTAGTAGGACATAGGAAAATGGTGCTTCTAATTACCAATTTTTAATTTTGTAAGAAATTACCCCTAACATACCCACAACAACTCTCACTTGCAACTAATTACACCTCCGTGAAAAGACAATTAAATGGAATTTAACAATTTCTTTTTTGTTTTTTTTTGGTTTAATTTAAAAAGTTGATGTGTTTGATAATAGTAATATTACGAATTCAGACTTATCAACCCAAAAATTACTCAAAATTATTATCTTGTTATTCAAATTTATTTTAGATATGGATCTCACACTATACAAATTTAATCTCTACTTTCTGATAAGTCTGCAACAATGGATTCATTCATTTAATAGTAATTTAAGAAATTATTTTTTATTAGTGAGGTTTTTTTTTTTTTTGTTTAATATTTTCTGATGAAGACAAACATGTTTTTGCTTTTTTAACCCATACCACATTTCGCTACCACAATTCATATATATCTCTTGTGACACAATTACGACCCCTAATGCAATAGAACCCATATGAGTCTTATTAATATCTAAAGATAATGATGAGATATATGAAATATAATATAAAAATCATTCTTAAAAGTTTTGAGTTTCCACTGCAGTCTTTTATCTATTTATTATTTTTAATCATTAGATAAGATTATTGTTCAACATCTATTACTAGAAGGATTTCACTAATTCACACAACAAACTTTAGAATGAGATGGTTCTTAAATTTTAGTATGATATGTGCAAATTCACATACAAAGTAATAAATTAAAAAAAAAATGAAAAAAGAAAAAAGAGTAAAATTCATCAAGTGCAAAATATCATTTTATTTATTTTTTTAAATTTGTAATGACTATGGTTAAAAAAACAAAAGAATTAATCAATTTTGGTGCAACTTTTGCTTATGGTTTATTAGACATAAATAATTTAAATAAACTAAAAAAAAAAACCTAATTATCTAAATATTGAGAGAGATGTACTTTTAATTTTTATTTTGTAATTACCAACTTTTAACTTATAAAAATTATACCAAACAAAACCTAGATGTCATCGACACCATTGTGATTGCTTTCAAATTGATGATATAATGTCTAATGAAGAAAGGGATAGATAGTTCAGTTCTATGGTTGAGATGTTGAGACAAAGGCCTAAAAAATCTTTCAAGATAAGCCTTCTCATGCATGTATAATAGTCAAGTAAACAACAATTTGGTTAACAGAGAATTTGTTTTGGAATTGAGGGGACCAAGTATTGAATGATTGATGAGAAAAAGCATAAAAGTGAAACAGTTTGTGGGCCTTAAAGTCTCTTCATTCCAGTATGTGGTGTGCTTTTTTTAATTTTAATTTATTTTGTGAATATTAATATAATAATAAAAAAAAAGAGTAAAAATCAATTATACTAATCTCTCCTAAAGTTAAAAAAATTAGAATAATTTTTACAAGTTTATCATAATTGTACTAGGCTCCCTTCAAGATTTAATTTATATAACACGTGACATCCTTTTCATTAGAAATTTGTTAACCATATAAGTAAATAAAAATAGGGGCAGGCTTCCCTCCAGTCCGTGATCAGACTGGAGGGTACTGTTGGGCCCGCGGGAGCCAACCACGAATCTCATTTCGATAATCTGAACCGTTTAATGTATAGAACTCGTTGAGTACTATATGCCTGTAAAAAATCACGTTGATCAGATATCGATAGCTACATGATCAAATCAGTTTAAAAAAAATAGATGATAAAAAAATAAACGATTGACAAAAATATGATCTGATAAAATAGCTATCGATATCCGCTCAACGTGATTTTTTACGAACATATTGTATTCGACGAGTTTTACACATTGCACGGTTTGAATTATTGAAACAGAACACGTGGTGGGCCCCCATGGGTCCAACAGTACCCTCCAGTCCGTGTCCGATCACGGACTGAAAGAAAACCCAGCCCAAAAAATAATATTATCCTCTTTTTGCATATTTTACCTTATTCGTATGTATCTTTATGTTTTCATACCATCTACATTAATTTTGATATTTTTAATCTTATTAAAAAGGAAATCAATATAATTATGTCTAAATAAGTTTTTTATTAACTTCTTTCAGTAAATTTTCTTTTCCTGTCACTTCACAAATCTATTATCTAAACATGGAATAAGAGACCAAAAGAACTAGAAAAGTGAGATCAAGGGTTCACATCCTCACTCATTCTGGGTATATTCAGTTATATTATCTTTGGATTATGGATTTTGGAGAAATTTTTGAAGAAACAAATGAGGAAGAAAAAAAAAACTTCACACTTTTTTCCTCCCTTTTCCTTTATCTCCACAAATCCTTCTACAAATACAAGATTTAAAACACAGCCTTAATATGGCATTTGTTGTAGGATCCCTCAATCTATTATAATCAAAGACACATATTGCCTGTGTTCGGATAAAGAATTTGACGAAGAATTTGCAAAAGGAAAGGAAAGAGGAAGAAAAAAGTGAATAAAATATAATTCCTGTTGCTTTTACCTATACAAATTCGTAATCAAATCCTTGATCCAAACACAACATATAAACTCTGTTTGGATCATGAATTTGGATAGACATCTGCAAAGGAAAAGTGAAAAAGTAGACGAAATGTAGGTGAAATATGACTATTTTCCATTCATATTTTACCTATCTTTTTCTTTTTCCTTTTTCCCTTTCTAAATTTCCACTCAAATTCATGATCTAAACACAATCATAGTGTAACAAGAAAGTGACGTCAGCAAACAAAGGCACAAAATTCTTGGCAAAATTGATTCAACAATGCCAAGTCCAGTGTTATTAAAAGTGATAGGCGTACCAAGGAGCCAAGGTCTCCTGGGGTCTGGGCGAGGCGCAGACTTCACCGAAGTGATGCGCACCTTGTACGGAAAAAAATATATTATTTAATATAAATAAATAATTTAGGGTTCAACGTAAACGAAATGAAATGTTAAACATTTAGTGTTTTTTAGAGACTAGGAATTAGGACTAATTTTTCTTCTATAATTGATTTGGGTTGAATGCCCAATGTATTGGCATCTGTATTAAGAGTAGGGATCTTCTGTAGCTACACCATATCAAATCAATGGTCAGATTTTAAACAAAACCAATTAAAGCAACAATGGAAAAAGCCCTCAAGACACAAGCCTTGGGTCAATCAAGTGCTATCGAACTCGCCTAGCCTAGAACACTACAAGACGCAAACCTTGGGCCTAGGCGTGCCTTATCGAAGTCGCCTAGCTTGAAATACTACAAGGCGCAAATCTTGGACCTGGATAAGACTTGGGCCTAGGCACACCTTTAATAACACCGACTAGGTCTAATAAAAATCAATGACATAAGTTCACTAATTGGCACATTTGGGTTTAGGATTTGTCTGATCTTTTTTTTCTCAAACAGTACAAAAACCCCATCAGGAACTGAGAATTCAACTATAATTTTCCAGTTGAAAGCAAGATTTTTCCTTTATAATTGGGTTAAAAATGCATCAACCAAACATGGTAATGCGAAAAAGGTTCTGTGGGGATTACCTAATGATAGTAATACAACACAGCACATCTAATCACATATAAACCCTAAAAACTAGAAGAACTCGAAGTCCAGATATTTACCTCCTGGCTTCACCTCTGTCCCAACCATCCTTTTACTGCTGCTACCGACCCCGACCCCAATCCCGCCCGTATCGACAGCTCCAAACTTTGCAGACGGCTCGTACTCGACCGGTCTTGGTATTTCCGGTGGCGTGCTGCACCGTATCAGAGCCCAATTTACACCTTCAAAGAATGGGTGTTGCTTGATCTCCGTCGCTCCCCTCTTCACTCCAAGCCGTTGCTGTGGCTCCTTCATGAGCAAGCCCCGGATCAGGTCCCGACTCGCATAACTTGTCGCCGGCGACTCTGGGAATCGGAGTTGTTGCCCAACCACGTTGAACAGTGTAGCACGGTTTCCCGAGCCCTTGAACGGTGTTTTACCGTAAAGTAGCTCATGTAAGAAAATGCCAAACGTCCACCAATCGACTGCGCTGCCGTGGCCTTCTCCTTTGATGATTTCGGGGGCCAAATATTCATGGGTCCCGACAAAGGACATCGAGCGGGCTGCTGTAGGCTCGGCAACGAGCTCTGGTAGCATATTTGTTGGGAACCGAGGCTCGGCTTGAGGTTTTCGGGTTTTTTTCTTGCTCTTTTGGGGGAAGATTCGGGGAATGAAGCATGCAGGTTGGATGCATACTGATGAGGGTTCGATACAGGCGGGTTGGACGCAGAATGCTGTTCCCCGTTTGGATGGGTCGCCATTGAATGAAGAGGTTTTAATGAGGGTTGGTGAAACCGCACATCTTAGAGAAAGGTCAAAGTCTGAAAGCATTATGTGGCCATCGTCACGTACAAGAACGTTTTCTGGTTTAAGGTCACGGTACACAACTCCCAACATGTGCAGATACTCGAGTGCCAAAAGAACTTCTGCAGCATAGAACCTGGTTACATGAGGAAAGACAATAATTATGACCCTTGTTCACGGGAAAATATTAATATAAATAAACAAGATAGTAACACTGTGAGAAGACGGTCTTCATTTTTTTCAGAAGCTTCCTTTGTTATTAAGTGGTTTGCTTTTCGAAGTCCATAGCCAAACAATTTATAACTTCTAACAGCCACAAAATGCACACATTAAATCACACAATTTCCTAAAACTTATGTAATGGTTATCAAGAAGCACATCTCTTTGGTCCAAAGAGTTTGGTTTCATCATGCAAATACAATAATGCACAGCTCCTAAACTACAGCTCAGTAATACAGAGCAAGGCTTAAAACCAAAAAAATGAAATAACATAATATGCTTGTTTTACAAATTGAGAAAAGCATAGTAATTGTCATCGTTGGTTCTATCAACCAATTGGGTTTTCATATACTGAACAGGGAAACAGATACAGCTAGGATACAGCCAGACACCTTATGGATAAGTTCAGGATACTTCTATGATATATGTCAGAGTAAAATCTTTTATTTAAGATTCTTAAAACAGAGGCAACAGCATAAATAAGACGAACTTTTGTTTTCAAATTGAAAGAAATTTTTATCAAAAAAATCCAGTCCCATCCTCTGGAAAACTTGGTTGGAATCACTCCATCCCCATCTGATATTTTGTATGCAACTCTATCTTCCCTGTCAATATCTGATTTGAACAAAATTCTGGCTCCAGAATCCCACTCCTAAAGACCCAACTTTGTCCCGGCCCACAAAATAGAGGGGTTATTTGGTAATAAGAAGAAATTTTAAACATATACAACGGCTAATGGATCAGAGTCTTTCCACGTCTCTGTGTGTGTGTGTGTGTGTGTGTGTGAATGTGAATCAAAGCTGAGAGAAAGGAATCTGACTACACTACCATACAAAAGAGTGAAAACCTGGAACATGCAACATTAATGTATTTGGACTGAGGACAACTGTCAGACCAGGCTATGTACAGGAGTGGAGCTTGTGAAGCAAAGGAAACAACTCAGAAGAAAAGTAGAAATAAAAAATTCCCCCTTAAAATTATGATGCTCCTAAATCTAAATGCATGAAGTTTTGCTGCATGTCCTTCCCATTGAATATAAGTCACATCAAGGAGAATCTTATTCAAAATACAGCAAAGCAACAAAATAGGGAAAAAGGGGGCAAGGCTAATAGAGATACATGATCTAGAATTTCCCACTTACACTTGGTTAGGCGAGGAAACACAGAAGCATACAATCTATTGGTTTTTGTTTACAAAAAATAGGAATCATGTTCATGTTTATTTTTGCTAAAAACAAAACACATCTTTGGTACATGCAAATATTCTCAAAGCAAACAAAAACAAGAAAACATGTTTGGTGAGTTTTCGGAAGGGGTGGACCAGGGTAGGAGGTGTTGGAAGTGACACCAGAGGGGTGGGGAGATTGCCAAAGGTGGTGGCAGGTGGGATTAGGTGGCTCAAGGGAGGGTGCTGGAGGTGGTGAGGGAGGGAGGAGCAAATGAAAACTTGTTTTCAAATCAAGTGAAAACACTTTTTTATTTCCTAATATTTTGTAATTTCCGTATCTGTCGAACATTTTTTTGGAAACGAAAGCAGTTGTCAAACATGTGTTATTTACAGTTCACAGTTGTTTGGAAAACATAAACATAAACAGAAAACATAAAACATAAAACATAAATGTTACCAAACATCTGCATATAAGGTCAACAGGGATTAGTAAGATACGCAACTCAAAAATGCCTCAGATTTACAGTTACTCCAGAAACTTGGTGAAGTCGTGGAATAAAGGATTTTCATAAGGTAGAATGTCGATGTTGCCTTGGACATCTCATCATACTTGATGAGACTAAATTACATAGGCAGTAGTTAATTTTAAAAAGTACATTAAGTGGACTTCAAGACACTAGCAAACTCCAGTCTCAACAAAATAAATGCCTATATGTGGTAGTATAGAAGTTAATTATTTACTAAATTGACGAAGTTGGAGAATAAAGCAAGAGAAATCAGGCTCAAATTCTCTCACTTAACAATATGAGAGAGAGTACTTTGACAAAGCTGAAGTAGATCACATGCCAAGAAATAATTTGCGCATTTGAAGCCCTTTTTGTTTGAAACTTTGTTCAGAAATTTAGCCCCCAACACAAGGTTGTTAAAATCGGGATCCTACATTGGATCGTTGGAGGTGTTTATCGGATCGGATCGTAGAATCGGATCGAGGATCGTAAGATCCTACCGAAAAAGACAAATTACATAACAATTTAATTTAAATAAATATTTCTTATAAAGTATACACAAAATAAGCCTATATTTTATTAAAAAGAAATGAAGATATTGTAAAAAATATAATACTCCATGTAAAATGTACATATAATATTATACAATAGAAAATTCAATGGTAAAAGTTTTGTATTTCATCAAAAAAGAAGGTGATGAAGAAGAAGAAGAAGAATAATTCTATAACAAAATACTTCACAATCTACAATAATGCATAAAAAGTGAAGAAAAAATATTTAATAAAGTTGGATATGAAAATAGATTAAGAACTCAAAAGAGTAGCTTAACCGAATGATAAGATTTGTCGTTAGCATCCCTGGTGGAGCAGATTCAAGTCACAAAAATAATCTCTCCAAAAATTGGGATAAAGTTGCAATCATCTTACCCTCCTTAGACTCCGCTAAAGCTAAGTTTGTTTTTCCGACTATTTAATTTTCTTAAATTACCGCAATATTTGAATGTTTGTTTCTTAGTTTGTTTTTCTTAGTCTATTTGATTCAATACGACTTAATTTTTATTATTTATTTTGATCACATAAATTGGTATTTAGACAACAAACATAACATTTACAATAAAATATGTCATACAATACAAAATAAGACTTGTAAATTGGATCGGATAGGATCGGATTCGGATCCGGATTCCACAATCCTATAAGATCCCACTACCAGGATCGAAAGATCCTACCTATAAGGAGTTTTTTACACGATCCGGATCGATTGTACTCAAATAGATCGTAAGATCGTAGGATCCGGATCCGGATCGGGATTCTGATAACCATGCCCCAACACCCCTCCCCAAATGCAAACACAAGGAAAAAGATCTTTCTATATTTCCTTTGCCTCAATTCATAAATTTGGGCACCAAGACTTGAGAAGGAAACAGCACTAACTTGAATGTAGAACTTCCAACATAATAAAATCACAAAGAAATGAATGAACTAATTCAACACTACAGATATCTTTTGTTCTCAATGCTTTCCGACCCCCAAAGAAAAAAGGAAAATAAAATAGAATCAATGCTCGTTAAAAGGGAAAGATAAGTTGCAAACATGAATCAGATGAAAGCCATGAGACTCTAGCTGCAAAGTTGCACATAATAATTTAGCAACTAGGCATTGATGCAATGTATAAATTAATGGAATCATGAATAGTTGCAAATTTGAAGCTAGAAAATCACATTAAATTTAAGAAGCAAACTACAGAGTGATGAAGTATCCATAGGAAGATTTTCTTCTCTCAAAAATCAGCTCCTTTTTTCTTTTTGGAATAACTCTCATGATATGAGATCAATGACATGGAATAATGAAAATACAACAACCAAAGAAGACACTGTGAAATGCTCTTTCAAGCCCTAAAGTATGATTTAGATTTGTAATCAACCATGTCATGTTAGGAAAGTGCTTTAAAAGCAGATAAGTGTTTTAGGTAAAACAAAAAACAGAAAGGAGTTGATTATAAGACGGAAAGCCTTGATGATAGGAAAATTTTAGAATAGCAATCATACCGTGCCGCATACTCTGAAAAATGCTTCCCAGGTTGCCGTTGCCTCAGGGTATGCAGATCACCTCCTGGACAATATTCCATGACTAGACATGAGAATCTGTCTGTCTCAAAATGAGTGTATAAGGTCGGCAAGAACGGATGGTCCAGCAGCTGCAAAATCTCTCTTTCCGTCTGAGCTCTTGTCAACTTCTTCCTGCTTGCAAGTGATGCCTTGTCCATCACTTTCATTGCAAAGTAACAGCGGGTCCCACTCAACTCAGAGAGGTACACACTACCAATGTCACCACAACCAAGCCGTTTGAGTAATCGAAAATGACTCATGCCCAATATTCCATCCCGTGCTCGGATGGCTAGAATAGCTTTCCATCTAGGATCATTCCCTTTGTGAGGCTTATTGGCACTCCCAGTAAGATTACTCCAATTACTGTCATCACTAAGGCCACTGCTATCACTTGCACGGCTAAGGCTTGTTTTTGCACTCTCTAGTGAATCACCTCGAATACTCCCTTTTATACTCTCCCAATTCCTGTCCATACTAAGTATACCATCACTCCTAACCCCATCACTCCGATATGTACTGGTGCAGCTATTGCCAATGCTCATGGCTCTGACCACTCCGGTACTATCAATGCTACTGTGCGGACTTACATTGCCACTTGGAGGCAAAGAAGCATCCCAAATACATTCCTTTTCCTCAGAATCCGGGGGAAGGAGAGCGTTCTCCGTGTTTTGTGATGGACGAGGCACTAAAAATGGTGAAGACACTGCACCCAAACCATTTGCTTCTTCAACCAAGTTCTCAGCGGGTGAAAGAACAGATGAGCTTGGTTTGATGCCAGGAACCCGAATTGAAAGATCTTCTAGAAAAGGACCCTTCATAGACAAGCTCTTCACCAAGCATTTACCCTCTGATTTGCTTTGACCAATAGGTACGTAGACTGGTCTCATTAGATCAGTATCAACAGGTTCCGGAGGATGACTAGCCCCGGAAAAAGAAGTAGAACCAACATCCTCAAATGAGTCCCCACTGCCCTTAAATGTAACAATATCTGGCATTAGTTCCTCTTGATCTTGTAAATAGTTCTTCTCTTTCCAGGTTCTTACAGATGCAGGGGAGTCCCAATCTTCTGAGTCTCGTGCATCAGATCGACCCGTAACTTCTCTAATAGAAGTAGTGCTCGCAGTCGCTGCCCGACCCACAACAGGCAACTTCCCAAAAAGCGCCTTTGGTTCCGGAATCTTTTCCATTTCTGATTACTGTATATCATTACATGTAACTCTTGCAGCAAAACAACCTGAAAATGGGTAAGAGAATCAATTTAATCAGTAAACCACTCAAGCATTTCTGATTCAGTTCACAGCAAACAAATCTGTCATCTGAAGTAAGAAAGTACGAGTGTGAGAATCACTAATTCTAGTCTTATTTAGCACCATCTAATAAAGCTTTAAACTTCATAATAAGATGGATAAATTTAATTAGCATAGCAACTCATTATTAAATTTCCAGTCAATCAGAGTTTTTTTTTTTTTTTTTTTTTTTTTTTTTTCATATATCTCACCACAAACAAGAAAAAAAGAAAAAAGAAGAGACACTCTCTTCAGATTTTCACCTACCAAACTGACCACTCAATATACTCCATTTGATTGTTGAGAAATCATAAGACAAGGAAAGAAAAAAAGAAATCCAACAATAGACGCTTCAACCCCCAACCCTTCTACTGAATTTCAAGTTATCAGTCATTTTCCCATGAGTCATCAGCATTTAAAAATCAAGTTGAAAATGATCACAAAGAAAGCTGATCAACAAAAAAACAAAATATCATTTGTTTACAATAAAATAGTACCCCCCTCCCAAAAAAAAAAAAAGCAGAAGTCCAAATAACCTCACCAGATCAAGCAACTTAATCAACCAGCATAACAAAAAATTCTCAATTTCTCACACAATCAAGTGAAGAGCAAAATGGTCCACAAAAGCAAGAACATAAACCCCATAACACCACGAAGCAAGCGAGCAAGCAAGCTCCAAAAAAGCAAAATTCAAAATTCCCTATATTCTCATCACATTATATAAATAAAAAATTACTTGAATCCCAAGCAAAACATACTCCAACAAAATCAAAAGCAATCAACAAATTTGGAATCAAACCGAAGAAGATCATCATTAATGAAAAATGAGAAACAGAATTCAGAGTCATCACCAGCGAACAACCACGAGTTCCGATACGGATGAATCTGGATCTAGGGCTTTTTTAGCTCTCAAATCTTGTGAATTTCGGTTTTAGCAGAGAGCTCAACTCTCTCTCTCTTTCTAGGGTTTTGGAACTGTGTGATGTAGGTGAGAGCTCACACACAGCTGGAGCTCTGCTCTCAACTTTCTCTCTCTAGAGTTGTCTCTCACTCTTTGTCTCTCTCTCTAGAGGTCTGCAAAAGGGTTTGTTTTGCTGATTGGTGGTAAGAGTACTAGTACCTTTAGCTCTCTTTTTTTCACATTCTTTTCTCTGGTTTTGGTGTGGGCACTTTAACAGTGTATTCAGAACTCTCTCATTGTGTTGTTACTTCTGTAGCTTGAGAGAGAGAGAGAGAGAGAGAGAGGGAGAGACAATGTAAACGTGTATGTAGTGTGTAATTGTACATAGAGGAAGAGTTTTTAGAGAGAAAAAGAGAGAAGGGTAGTGGGGGAAGAAGGTGATGGATGTGAATTGGGATCCTGCCCTTGAGGCCCCTCCTTCATTCCCTCCCTCCTTGTAGGGGCCTTCAGGTCCACTTTGAGGCCCAGTTTTGATAATCCGAATCGTTCATATTTTTAGATTTATTCAGTATATCATACCTGTAAAAAATCAAGTTGATCGAATATCATAAAGTATGTGTTCGGAAAACTGTTTATTAAAAAATAGTTTGTAGTCCCAATTTTCTGAACGCATACTTTCTGATATCCGATCAACTTGATTTTTTACAAGTATAATATACTGAATAAATCTAAAAATATGAACGGTTCGGATTATCAAAACTAGGCCTCAAAGTGGACCCGAAGGCCCCTGCAAGGAGGGAATGAAGGAGGGGGCTCAAGGAGGGGATCTGGACTCGATGGATGTTGGATAGAGCCAGGCAAGTATCCATGACTCCGTTTCGGGATATTTTTTTTTTTTTTTTTTAAATTTGAGTTAAAAAGTTTAGTTGGGAAATGATTTTTTGATTTTTTAGATTTTTTAGCTTTTTTTTTTATGAGAAAAGAATGTAATGATTATGAATTGGATGTGATATTTTATTTATTATAAAATAAAATAATCTATTTTGTCTTTTGTGACTAAAATAATCACAAAAGTCCTTATCAAACGGAGCCTTGTGTAAGTACTAAAATTTTAATTAGGGTTTTTTTTTTTTTTTTTTTTTATTTATTTAAGTTTGAGTTAAAAAGTTTAGTTTGGAAATGATTTTTTGATTTTTTAGATTTTTTAGTTTTTTTTTATGAGAAAAGAGTGTAATGATTATGAATTGGATGTGATGTTTTATTTATTATGACTAAAATAATCTATTTTATCTTTTGTGACTAAAATAATCACAAAAGCCCTTATCAAACGGAGCCTTGTGTAAGTACTAAAATTTTAATTATTAAATGATTAAATATTTTATATGAGCATGTGTTTTATAAAAATTGCAGACTTTTACATTTGTATGAATTGTTTAATTATTTATTTGATAAAAAATTTAAACCTCATTTGGAATTGTTTGTTGTAGTTTAAAAATTAAAAAGTTATTAAAAAAATTAAAAAATCTATCACTTATACTAAAATTTCAAAAAATTTATTTTTTTTCTAACTTTTATTCATTTTTTTCAAAAAAAAATCAAAAAATCATTCTAAATTTACTAATTTTTTAACCTCATATTTTAATTAAAAAATTAAAAAATATTAAAATAACTTATTCCCGAGGCTTAAGATCCCTAATATTACCCGTCAATATTAAGGCCTCGTTTGAGAACAAGCTATTTTAATAACTTTTAACTAAAATATGAGATAAAAAAAAATTAATAAGCTTGCTTGTTTTTATTTTTCAGAAAATACTTTTCAGAAAATTCTACTTTCTTATTTTTCGTATTTTTTTTGTTTTTACTGAATTTTTTTAATATTTGAAGCAATTTTTTTACTTTTTAGACACACCTAACAAAAATACACCTAAAAAGTAAAAAAATTATAAAAAAAAATCTTTTAAAAATTCACTAAATATCAAAAATATAAGAAAAATACAAGAATTCAATACATTTTTTGTATTTCTATGTATTTATTAATTTTTTAAAATATTTTTACACAAATTTTTTACTTTTTAGATACATCTAACTAAAGTGCATCTAAAAAAGTAAAAAAAATATTTAAAATTTAAAAAATATTCACTAAAAACAAAAGAATACAAAAACCAAAAAGCTTAATTTTTAAAAAATTTAATCCAAAAAACTCAAACCAAACATTATGTTTGAGGTGAATTTTTGGCTTTATATAAAAAAATATGTAAAAAATAGAAAAAAAAAATAAAATTTTTGATTTTTTAATATAGATTATAATTTTTTTAATTTTTTTAATATTTTTTTAACTTTTTAAATAAAATATTAACTTATCAAATGAGACCTCAATGTTTCAAACTAATTTGTTATAACCAAGGCCGTGGTGGAGTGGAAAGGTCCACACACACACGGGAGCATGGCTTGATTTTTAGGGATTTGTTTTCGGTGTTAAAAGTTTGTGCATTCTTCTTTTGTTCATGCGGTGAGTTTTTTCTTTTAAATTAGATTAGGAGTTGTTTGGTATGATATAAATAAGTATTTTTTTTAATTTTTTATGAGATATGAGTTAGATATAGATTGAGTTTAAAATGATGTGATATAAAGATGATGTGATTTAAATAAGATAATGTAACTTAAATATAATAATAAATTTTTAATTTTTTTTAGATTATGACAAACAATATCTAAATTTAATTGGCAATTAATTATTTCGAAATGGGACAAACGTTGTGATACCTCACAAAACAACATTTTTATTTGTTCAAAAAAACTAATTTGTTATAGAGATTTTAATAGTTTGAGCAGATTTTTTTTTATTTTTTATTTTTTTGATTAAGAAAAAAAGAGGTTCTAAGGCGTCATCACGACCTCCGGAGGCTCAGGCCCGGTGCTCCAAATCTACTTGATTTAACCCAACCCATAGGAAGGGACCCACCACCGAAGCACCAGTGGAGCGCCTCATCTGCCCTAACCATGGTCAAGTTTCGATTGGAGTACAGCGCCCGATGCTCCAAATCTACCTGATTTAACCCAACTCATAGGGAGGGACCCACCACCGAAGCACCAGTGGAGCGCCTCATCTGCCCTAACCATGGCCAAGTTTCGATCGGAGTACAGCGTCTGGTGCTCCAAATCTACCTAATTTAACCCAACCCATAGGAAGGGACCCGCCATCGAGGCACCAGTAGAGCGCCTCATTTGCCCTAACCATAACCAAGTTTCGATCGGAGTACAGCGCGAGATCTCAGAAGAAAGCCCTTGAAAAATCTAAAAAATTTTGCACCTCTAAAAGTCGAACTTGACTCATGACTGTGAGAAGGCAAGGCCTTCGCCACTGGGCCACCACCTCCGTGATATAGTTTGAGCAGATTGAGATGTATTTTTTTAATTTATCTATGTTTGGATAAATGGTAAATAAAAGGTTACTCATTCAATTAGATGTACCAACATCCACGAAAAGATGATATTATACTTGTATGTTGTATGTATTAAGAAAATGACATTTTCTTTAGTAATTGTTATTATGTATAAAATATGAAAGTTAGATTTTTATTTTTATTTAAAATATAGAGATTACAATTTTTTAGGGTAAATTATAAATACATTATTTGAAATTTACTTAAATTACAAATTATCTCATGTAATTTTGAAAATTACATTATGCCTCATAAGGCTTCTAATTTCATAACAAATAAATCATTTTATTAATAAATCATCAAGTTAATTAACAGTTTTTAATAATGTTAAAATTTTATTTCAATTAATAATTCAGATAATTTTATTATTGTATAGATGAACAGTTAAAATTTTTAATTTTTTAATTAATTCTGTTAAATAAAAAATTTTAACAGGAAGATATTTGTAATTTCTTAAATCACAAAGGATAATTCATATTTTAAGTAAATATTAAGTAATGTATTTATAATTTATCTAAAATTGTAAGATTGAAATAGTAAATAATTATTAAAAAAAATAATTTAAAAAAAAGGATTAAAACAGTAAAATTCAAATTGCTAAATTGACCTGCGTCTATCTGTCAATTAGGGGTGGGCAACGGTTTATCCGAACCGCTCAAACCGCCCAATCCGCCCAACCCGCATATAAATGGGCGGTTTCGCAAACATAATGCGGGCGGATGCGGTTTGAAATATGACAAATTTGCGGGTTGCGGGCGGGTCGCGGTTTAAACCCGCAACCCGCAAAAACCGCCCGCACTTTAATTATTATTATTATTATTATTTTTTATATACCAACTTTGTAACTTTTACAGGAGCACCATTATATTCTCTATGACATTAGGATCCTTATTTTTAAGTATTTCTCAACTTTCTTAATGCCGTAGAATTATCAAGTCCTAAACTTGGTTTCTTATATGATTTTCATTGGTGATTCATCCACTTTTTCCTAATAAAATTTTCCTTCTAATGGTCGATGGAACTTATAGTTTGATTATTGATTACTGAACTGGCAATTCTAATTGAGTACAACCTTTAATGCATTGATATACATTTTTTTCATGACAAAAATACTAGTGTAGAGTCTCTTTGTTTTTGGTACTTTCATTTAACGCATTGATATTCAATTTTTATTTATAAACTTTTCAAAAAATTGTTATCACAAATATATAAAATGAATCTGATGCCTAAATTTGCTGGGAAAAAAAAAACTTGAAAATTAATTTTTAAAGAAAAAAGTGTAAACCGCAAACCGCCCGCAACCGCCCGCACATTTGCAAACCCTATCCGCACAAACCGCAAACCGCACTGCGGGCGGTTGCGGGTTAACTTTTTCCCAAACCGCATAGATGCGGGCGGGTCAAAACCGAACCGCAAACCGCACAAAACCGATCCGCGAACACCCCTACTGTCAATTCATATGACTCACTTAGTGCGCACCTGAATCTACCTGCCAATTCATATGACTCACTTAGTGCGCATTCATTTAAAAAAAAAAGCAGGTTGATGTGAATTAATATTGTTGAATTGATTTAAGATTAGACGAATGATAAATGAGAGATTACTTGACCTGATTCGATTAGCAGACACACACGCATAGTGGAGGAGAGAAGTAGCTATCCAATGGCAGAAGAGGGGTTGGTGGTGGGGGCCCATAGACAATTTTGTATGTTGGGCTGGGCCCAGTGGTGGTGCCCACCACTGTTGGTTCTTTGCACTACACGTCTTTTCAAAGAAGAGCTCTCTCTCTCTCTCTCGGATCAATCACTGTATTAACCCAACACCCTCGGATCGGATTTGGATTTGATGAATCATGAGTTTTTTTTTGTTTTTTTTTAAATCAACACTACTCATAGCGCGTGTGATACACATGAAAAATAATTTAGTAAGTTTGGTTTTAGTTTTGTGAATTTAATTTTTTGAAAATTGAATTTTTTTTTA